AGTTGCTCTTTTCCTTACACTGTTTCTGCTTCTAAACTATTTACACTGAATGGAAAAGGGCAGCTTGGGCATTCAGCTAAAATATCTTATTTTGTGTTCAATATGTTTAGAATGACATGAGGGTGAAATATGACCATTTTCTTCTTCAGCATTCTTTTAGTAAATACAGGACACTATTACTCACATTTTTGGCACCTAGCAGAAAAAAAAAACTTTTTAAGAGTGACTTACAAAATATTAAGGAATACACACATTTGCTTCATGTAGCATAATAAAACTTTACAATTCATCTGTAAACTAATGCACTACTCTCGTCTCCATTTTTCATAAGTTATACTATTTGTGTATCTACATTGGATGATATATTTGTTTCAGAACAGACTTTTTTCCTGGCCTTAGCCTACATGTGCACTACCTGTTCCTTACTCTTTTTCACTCTGACTAAATGAACGGGTCAGTACACAAAACCTGTTTTATCCTTTAGAGCGGTGATCCCAGGGGTTTAGAAAGATTTCCATTTCCTTTGTAATTTTCTAAGTCTTTGTTAATCTGTAAATCTTTGCTACACTGCAAGTCTTGACTTCTCATTAATATGTGTGCAAATGATTGCATATCCACTCGTGGGTGATATTTCTTGCTTCTATGGTATTTAAAGGTGTCAATTATGTCCCATCTAAATTGTTATTTCAAATAAATCTGCCATTTGGTCTTAAGGAAGGTTTCTGCATGATTGCCCACTGAAGAGTCTGTTTTCAGACTGTTTTATTGTCTACCACCAAGGGCTTAGTCTCCATACTTTAACAGTTTATACTCCCAGAGTGGCCACACACTGGCTATAATGTGAATGATAAGTTGTTTCCTAGAAGGTGGCAGGTAAAAAAGTTTACTCATTTTTAGTGATCTGGAATTTTCTGATCTAACAGATTCCAATGCTTCTCCTTGCAGACGAAATTACAAAAGCAGTCTGAGATCTGAAAAAAAAGTGTCAAACACACACACAAAAAAGTCAACCAGATGCTTCAGGCACACTGCTGGGCCCAGTCAGAGCTGAATTCCTCTGCTGAAGGGGACTGAGACCTACAGTTGGTTTACAGTCAGCACAGAAAGAAAGAGACAAACGGTAACCTCAAAGTTACAGCTGCTCAAACTGAATGTACGATTAGTACAGAACTGAGGTACAAACTAAAAAGTATCTGTGTGCTCCTTTATCTGTCCATGAGAGTGTCACTGTATGAGGAGGGGCATTTAATTTGGCTATCCTTAACAAATACCATTATTAGGACATGGTAACAGAAAGAAAGAAAACAGATAGAATAGAAAAAGAATAGCGCAAGCTAGTGTTAGAGGCCTAAAAGTAAGTATAAAAACTGTCAGTACCATTAAAGGGTTAGTTCACCAAAAAATGAAAATTGTGTCATTAACTACGCACCCTCATGTCGTTCCAAACCCATAAGACCTTCGTTCATCTTTGGAACACAAATTAAGATATTTTTGATAAAATCATGCGTACGCTTTTGCGTAATCAGGGTCGTTTACGTTCAGTAGACAGTGCACACATGCTGAATGTAAACAATGCTGATTACGTTGATTACGTTCTGGGGTACTCTCCAAAATGGCGGAAAACGGTAACCTCTGGGAGAAGAATTGTTGAATAAATTATGTTATTATTGTTTTCAAAGCGCACAAAAAGTATTCTTGTAGCTTCATAAAATTACGGTTGAACCACTGATGTCACATGGACTATTTTACCAATGTCCTTCCAACGTTTCTGGACCTGGGAACACTGCAGTTGCATTGCTGTCTATGGAGGGTCAGAGAGCTCTCAGATTTGATAAAAAATATCTTAATTTGTGTTCCGAAGATGAACGAAGGTCTTACGGGTTTGGAATGACATGAGGGTGAGTAATTAATGACAGAATTTTCATTTTTGGGCGAACTAACCCTTTAATGGTACTGACAGTTTTTATACTTACTTTTAGGCCTCTAACACTAGCTTGCGCAATTCTTTTTCTATTCTATCTGTTTTCTTTCTATTTATTATATAATAAAAAAAACCTTGCTACGTGTGCTGCGTTAAGCTAACTGAGACTTGTTATAGCACTTGCATATCATTGCTCTTTTGTTGATTTTGATTGCTTCCATTGTCCTCATTTGTAAGTCGCTTTGGATAAAAGCGTCTGCTAAATTAATAAATGTAAATGTAAATATACATTTCATTCCAAGAAAAGATATATAAAAAAAGTTGCCAAAAGGCTAAAATCTATGCTGTCACAAAGTGTGCACTGAAAAATGTATTCCATTAAGAAATCTTTCAAGCCTATATGAACCAATTAGGCAACAAGCGTCTATATTAAACAAGCAAAACTCACTTGCTAGATTGTCGGAAACAGTTTGTAGTGCTGTTTAATTGATGGAAAGTCTAACTAATAATAAAAATATAACATAAAATTGATACAAAATATAAAAAAATTGATTTAAAAAATATTAAATCTAAACTGACATTAAGCCTTAAACTATATTAAGCCTTTTATACACGTGTACAGTAAGCAACGCCACTGCAGCCTCATCTAAAAGAACTGAGAACTGAACTAAACCTCACATCAAATCACCCACTCATTTTTTCATTCAAGAACTATGCTGTACTTCCTAAAAACACTTTGAAGCCTTTCAACCATGTCAGTCCTACTAATGTACAGCATTGTACAATAAAAATAGGTTTTAAGAAGTAACAGCTATTGAAACACCCCATTTGCAGTAGTTGCCTAATTCAAAGAATGGTTGAACTGCTGACCTCCCCAAAGACGAGACGTCTTCTTGCTTATGTCATCAAGACGTCTGACTTTCCCTGCCCCCCAGGTGAAAGCTCCTCTAAAGTTGTGAAAGTGTTGAAAGGTGGTTGTGCTATATCTGAAGTTAAAGGATGAGCAGATCTGGCAGGTGGATTGGCTATTAGAGTAGAAAAGATAAGAGAGGCAGATGTGGGTAATCTGTTCCACCTGTGCTACCTTTCCTACCTGGGAAGTACACATGACCACACACTCACACAGGAGAAGACGTCCCTGGGGAATCCCTTAGTTATCACCAAAGGACAGAAATAAATAAGCATTGTTAGGAAAAGTTATTTTCCTTCTAGCTGGAGGTGCTTTATCATGGGTGGTTTATTCTCAGGCATTCATCACTAACCATAAAGACACTAATACCGACTGAAATATAATGTTTACTTAAACCAGAGTGTCTCAAGAGACTTGCAACATAGCAGCTAATAATATAAAATAGGCATTCCTAAAGCAGTCAACATCCCTGTTAAAAATGATGGAGTTTCTGTAAAGCCACATGATGAAACCAAGCATCAGTCCCAATGAATGAGGTCAAGACTGCAGCAGAGCCATTAAGACTACAAATCAGTAGTCCCAGCACCTCATGTGTACTCCCTAAACACCCACATTTCCCAGGTGACCCCTTCAGAAAGATAGTCTTACTTGACAATAACTCTCTCTACATTCACAACCCTCATGATTTACATTTAGAATCACAATTACTCATGAATTACAGGACAGCTTTGCCAAACAGATGAGAGATGGCCATGATGGAAAAGTCCAAGGGAGAGAAATAAGGTCAGTATATTAGTTGAGCGCTGACTGATGCCCAATGAATGATTAAGTCACCCATCCCATACATTCATATTGCATACACCCACATGTGCAATTACGGAACAATTATTCAATTCCATGGCATAAGCACAAGACAAATATCCCCCAAGTGGACTGAAAATAAACCATTAGAAATTCAGCAGCTTTTTTATGTTGCTGTCGCACTTACAATTAACTTTCCCTACTCTTAGTGAATTCCAGCTTAATTAATCTTAATAACCATTGAATTTCACTGTGACCCAAAGGAGTTTAAAATAGAGAGCAGTGAAAACAAAGCAAGTCTAATTTTAGGCAATTATGATTAGTGTACAGCCCATGTCGCACATTAACAATGGGAATCATTTCAAGATCTTGTCAAGATGTCCACATTGCTGCGTGTAGCATATGGTATCATTTATACACTGCACATAGTAAAATTCCAAGAGTCCATTGCTGCTGTATATGAAAAGATAGAATGTTGTGTCCAAGTAATCATGTATAATGGCTGTGCAAGCCAAAAGCAGTACAGAGACTTAAGAACTAACAGACATATCCTCTCTTGTGCGCAGACAGGTCACTTTGGAGCTCCTGAGGTAAGAAGAGATACTAAAATGAATTGCGCCAATTGAGTATATTGATCATGATTTACATTATCAAATTAGAATGTTTAAAATCATAGCTCTTTCTCTCTTCTTTCTTTCTCAGTGGGGAGACAGAAGAAACAGAGAGAAACTACTTCTGAAGTTGTTGACCCAATGACACCTGCTTCTACTTTTTATGGCAATATAATTGTGCTCTCAAATAATTTCCCTTTTAAACCTTTAAATTTACCTATTAAAATATATCAATTCTCCCTTTTACTTCAAATGTGAATCATTTCCTATATTTTGTTCCAAAATGATGCTCAGATGAAAATGGTGAATATTCTAGAGGTACACTGTTTTCAACAAACCTGTTAAATTTGAACACCAATACAAAAAAGAGGGCAGTCATATATAATGATGAGTAAGGTCAGAGGTAAGCACCATGTGGCATCATACCCTAAACGATTAAAGATCTGCCCAAGCTTTAGAGTTTGAAATACCTTTTTGAATTATACACATTTCATTCACATGTTTCTGCAAAGGTATCTTAATAAGAATGAATCAGGATATAAATCTAGGCAAAGTTCTACAACAATATAGTCACCACCAGTGCCAGTGATGTTGACTGCTGATATGTTGCCTCAATGCTCCAAGCAGTAATACAAAGGTTTAAAATAATTTTAGAAACATGTATTATGAGTTTCCTTTATGCTAAATAAAGGGCAACAAATCATTACCAATTTCTCTACTTTTAATATGACGTGGAAATGAGCTTGCCGGTGCTTACCATGGCATCCCCTTGATCTTGGTCATAATCATAATCATAGTAGTCGTGACTTGACTCCAAAGCAAGGTTTTCATAAATGAATGCGAGACAGAAAACAGAAATTCCAAATAAGTGCATTTTAGAAGGAAAAAAAATCTCTGAAGTCTGAGCAGAGTCTGTTGGAAGTTATTTTTCAGCGTTCAGCAGCAGGTTTCTAGAAGACTCTGTCCTTACACTAAAATAACACCCATGTATACATCCAACATTTTAAGAAGGCACTTCGATACTGGTCCATGGAACGCACTGTGAGCTCGTCCCTTCACAAACGGCTGTGAACATCCACTCCGTGCGAAGATATTGTTGAAGTGCGCGGAGCGCTCAATGGCATGTTTTATGCAATTTCACGCTGTTACTTTGGATCCTTCTCCCTCCCCCTCTCCGTTTTCCCCCAGCCTGCCTCTCCGTTCGCCGTTAGACACATTCCGAGATATCAAGAGAGGAATATGAGTCGTGGCACGCGCGCTTTCTCAGGTGTCAACTACAGCACGTCAAACGCATTGTGTAAACGCACAAGCGCACTGAATGAACCTCTACAGTTGCTGCTCTTTTGTGTAAGGTGAAAGGTCAAATAAAGGAATAGTTTATCCCAAAATGAAAACTGAGACATAATTTTCTTACCTTATGTTTTTTTTTTTCATGCAAATGAACGGGGACAGGGGCATTGATGCTTCAAAAACTGACGCAAGACTAAAAAAGTAAAAGTAGTTAATGTGACTATTATTAATTATTGTGTGTACTGTAATTATTGAATTAACAACTGTAAACCTATTCCTATGTTTAAAAAATTATACAAATTTAGTAGCCTACAACTTGTTGACAGTTAAGTTGTTTGCTGCAAACTCAAATTAAACTGTTAAAAATGTAATTATAAATAAATGCAATAAATGAAAATAATAAATAAAAATAAAAACAATGAATAATGCAGGCTGATTTATGGACGGTTATTTGGGCCTCTCTAATTGGGACTGGGTTAATTGGGATGACTGTCAAAAAGTGCAAGAGTTTACCTGAATTGAACCCTATGCGAAAATGAGCTGCTTTGGGGAGGTTTTAATTCGGTTGGAGGGTTCTTCTCCATAGGGGGGTTTTAGTCCTCAAGTTCAGTGAGTGCTCTTCTAATGCTGTGGAATGCAAGTCTCACTCGAGTCATTGTGTTCCATTCACCGCTGTCAAATGGTCGCAATTAATTTTGTGATCTTCTCAAATACTACTTTAAGTAGCAGGCTAAACATGCACTGTCAAATGCACTCAGTGTTAACACTAAAGATCTAGTTTGAACAGGCTCAGGGCTAAGGGTTTGTGAATGATAACCTAATTAGCCATGACACTACTGAGTAATTCAATGTGAAAATACCTGATAATGCACGTTTGATCACTGGGGTTGTTTTCCAAGGGACTAGACAGAAAATGTTGCTTTTGTTTGCTATTAAATTAAACAATCTATAACAATAAATGATTATACCAAATTGATGGTGAAAATGGCCAAACAATTGCACATGCAGATGGCATAGTAATTCCAAATCATTGTAAATTACCAACAAAAGGCTTGTCAGTCATATACTTGGCAGCGGCCAGTTCCTTTGCCTACTTATTTGACTTCTCTTTGCTCATGAAAAGTCTTATTCTGCTTCCCTGAATGCTTTGATTGGTAAAATACTAAAAGGTCAAAGTTCAGACTGGTTTTATAAGGATTAACAGGGGTCACCTTTGCGTTGACGTTACTAAACACATTACTTCATTGGAGAAGTTATAACATCATCAGCCAGGCGTCTGGAGCTGCTTTAAAAGTTCAACCACAACTGATATAATCTTATTTAGAAGGCATATGATTTCTTCAGTAGGACTTTTGACATACTTAGGTATAGTCCCAACGAGTTTCAGAAGCTGACTGTAACTTTCATGCTGTTTTTCTACATGGACGTTTACATCCTTTTACATTTTTCCCTCTTTCGGCCCACATATACCAAGTAATCGGTGTCCTTATTTAAACTCTCTGTGCTTTGTCCTCCAGAACTCTTTTCAAATGAAAGCAGCTTTGTGTAGGATTTGTTTAATGCCTTTATTATAAGAAATGACTGACCTTTACGAGTTGAAAACTGATGTGAGGATTTTATCTGACATTATCTGTTTCTTTTTTCTGAGCTTTTTTGTGACACATTAAAGATGATGCATCAAAAAAGATGCATTTATTGCTGTAGCGTATGGTTCCTTTGATAAATTATCTTTATAGTATAAAAACTAAAAACAATATATTTTTGTCACTTCTTAAAAAAATAATAAAAATTAAGAAAATTACATCACATATACAGCAAGACGCACATATCACTTTAGAAAAACAAAACAAAACATGTCTTTGTTAAAACAGCACTTTTGGCCGTTTAGGAAAGATGTAGCATATGAAGTCCAGCTTAGGTCTTCCTTTGTTTTTAATTTCTAGTTGCTGTTTGAATGACAGCTTGGTAAATTTGATGGCGCTAAAATATTTATATATCTCTACCCTCCATAATTAATATAGTTGCTATCAATGAGACCAGTTTAAACTATAATCACGTAATTTACATCTCTACGATGATTGGTCCATATACAAAGGCAGACTATTTTTTTCTAAACACTCTATTACCACTGAAAGTCAAATACTTGATGGTGATTGGCTACGGAGGCAAAAGTCTATGGATGTATGTAATTAGAGTTCGTCGATAGATTCAACATGTTCACGAGAAAGAGCAGTGGTTCTGACTTCAGTAATATTTTATGGTGTTACAATGGTGAAATTACAAACATGGAATACACATTCTGGGATGTGAAATCAGTAAATTTTATTAGCATTAAATGGTTCTTCTACCATTTTCCTCCTCAAAATCTTGGGTATGCTGTGCCTCCCTTGCTTCCCCTGATGAGCCGCCACTGGTGATTTGTAATATAGCTGGTGTTTAGAAGTGTATTACACCTGGCTCAAACATAGGTCCACTGAATTCAGTGTATGCCAGCTATGAGCACTTGAGTCAGTCTGTGGCCCTGAAAAGGAAGGCAACACCATAGGAATTTATGAGGGTCCTCATGGCACAGTGACCCAGCACTGTCTAACACTTTTGCTTGTCTACTCGTGTGTACACAGCTTGTTCCCAGACACTGGGAATTGCACTCGCCGGAACTGGGAAACAATGGGTGTGGGAGTCCTGTGACTGGAGCCGCTGCTTTGGGAAGCGCTGGACCCTGTTAATGCTGGAATTTGTGGTGTCCCTTACGTTTCAAACAACGGCTGTGCTAGGAAGGGTAGATCGATGAGGATAAGATGGCAAGGTCAGGGGTGGGGGGGGGTAATCTTGTACTCTCCAGCATTCCTTGGCATCCTCATTGGTTTGTTTGTAATAAATTATAGAGCATTTTGACATTGAAGGCCTACGGTTAGGGACATACATACTTCTGCATTTAGTGTTTAATGTGTACACAGTTAAGTTAAAATTATTAGAAAATCCAAATCTTATTTTTTGTAAATAAATAAATGAATAATACAGTCTCCACATCAAAAAAATGACACAATAGGACTGAGGACCAAGAGGAGGGCTGTGTTCCAGAGAATACGATTGGAAGCGTGTTGTGACTGAGATAAGGAGGGGTTTTAATGCTTCCTTGTTTCACAGTTGACAGCTGACAATTAATTAACCTACAAATAAGGATAATGGCCATGTAAGAGCATGTCTTGTGTGTGTTAATATAAATGTGTTTTTGATAAGAACAGTCACGGCTAACTGTGTCAACATACATTTTTATTCTTCAAATTCATGCCACTGGAAAATATTTATACATAAAAATACAGTTTCCTTAAATAAGAAACAATTACCCATAGCAGAAAACATGTCAGTTCTCATATCACTGTCAGACTCTGTTCCGTGTTTTGTTTGTGTTTTGCTCCCCTTGTGTTAGTAACATCATTACTTTGAGGTACAATTAGCGCTTTATCAACAGTAACCAATAGGTCTGAGAGGAAATCTGCAAATTCTTTTAGGGCGGATGATGTAGTCTCCGATGATCACAACATCGTGTTTCGTCTCGCAGAGGGGAGCAAAGCGGTTCCGGGTGGAGATCTCGAAGACCGGAGGGGGAGAGGTCGTCGCCCGGGGCCTGGCTCGCGTCTTCCGGGAGATCTCGAAGACCGGAGGTGGCGGTGGAGGGGGAGGGGTCATCGCCCGGGGCCTGGCTCGCGTTTTCCGGTGTGGCTGCGGCCGCACCCAGGGTCAGTGGTGTCCCGGCGCCGGAGTGAAGGACATCTGGGAAGATCGCTTCCTGGGTGCACCGGGCCTGTGCAGAGAAACACATGGAGCAGAGGTGGTGGGAGAGTTAGCAGCGCGCTATAATCTTTATCTCGGACTTGTGAGCATCAGCTTGGGATGTTTCCAGTGCGGCTCTCCGCTCTCTCAGCTGGGTCTGCCTCTCCACCAGGTCGCGGATCTGCTTCTCCATGGCCTCCAGCTCCTCACACGTGTCCTCACCTGCACTCAAAGGTAGACACACATCCGCCATTAAAGCAAGTAACAGTGAGTAAAACAATGGTAATGTGTGTGAATAGAGTATTAGTAATGTAAGCGAGATTAGCGGCAACCATGCTGGCGATGCTAACGGGCTATATGCTAATAGCGGACTCGGGAAATCAAAATAAAACTAGTGATAACAAGGCGCTCTGATTGTTTTTGTTGTAGAATACGATAGGGGATATATTCACACATTATAGAAACGAAAATTATGGTGTATAAAATAGATTTTAAGATAAAAAATTAGACGACAAAGAATTAAATTGACGGAGCTCAAACTCAAAACACATGGCAGCAACAAACAGACAAACAGGTGTCCCCATTTCAGTTCTATTGATCCCAGGTGTGTCTCGTCATCCCATCGTCATGTCATTTGTATATAAAGTGTTCCATGTTATCAGTTCGGCGTCCAGTATTGAGAATATCTGTTGATGTCTACCTCCTTTGCTACGTGTGTTTTCCTGGTTCCCTTGATATAATTAAAATCTGCTTATTGATGTACTCCTGGTCTCCTCATTCTGCGCTCCAACACAGTAGCACCATGACAGAATACCGGACCAAGGACAGTAAGCGGCGCCCCCTCTCCCCGTGTTTGTTTTCCATTTGTTTCCCCCCGAGATCATGGAAATCGCCACTTGTTTCTCCGCCTTAGCCCGCTAAGATCTCCCCTTCTTCGAGTACGCCTGGGAATTCTGCGGGCTCACCGTGGCGACGGCATTGGATAATGCCATTATCAATTCTCTGTTCTGACTCGGGGCCAACTACCATCGCCCCGTGGACCTCCCAGACACCAAGGGACTATGCTGGAGGGAAGGGATCTTCCGGTGTCTGTGGAGTGTCCGGGCCCGAGTCAGAACCAGCCCGCCGGCCGCGGCTCAGTTAAGCCCGCTGACCACACCTTTCACCCCGAACCTAAAGGGGAATCTAACGATGAGAAGGCAGTCGGCTCCAGCCCCAGAGCTTGCTCCAGTG